AAATTTGAAAGATGTTGTTTATTTGTTCCTGAAAGAAGTTAAATCCATTTCTATTCTTAACCTAGAGATTTAGTTCAGTGTTTAGATTCTTGACTGGAATGTGCAGCGCCCTGGATCCAGCACCCAAACAAATAAACAACAAAAATCACATTCTTCAACAACAGTACACAGTGAGCCCCAGGATCACACACTGTGCCTGATAGGTAGGAAAAGATAGAAATTTGGCTTTAGTCTCATTTTTGTGTTTCCTGATCCTCTCATGTGGCCATTTATGTTTCCTTGGCTATACATATCACTTCACTCATTTGTACAAGTGACCTGTGATAACAATGTGGATCAGTTTGGGTCTTAGGAAACTGCACTAGCTCACTCCTAAACGTCTCAAGAATGTCCTTAATCTGCCTCAACTTCCAGGATGACCATCCCTGGGGAGGTGGCCCTGGGTTACATAAGAAAGCAGGTTGAGAAAGCCAGTGGGGAGCAAGCACCCCTCCATGGCCTCACCATCAGTTGCCTCCAGGTTGCTGCCTTCTGTTCCTGTCTTAACTTTCCTAGATGATGGGGCTCTAAGCTAAAATAAAGCCTTTTCACCCCAAATTGGTTTTGGTCAGTGTTTCATCACAGCAATAGAAAGTAAACTAAGGCAGATCCTGAGACCCTCACTCTTGGGTTTCACTTATACCTTACTTACTTAGCCTTGCTCTATTGACCTTGTGCCCAGACAATGTGGCTAAAATGTACATTATGAAATGTTACAAAGGGAGGAGAGAAACTTTTCTTGATATACTAATTATTTATTGGAAATGGCCAGTAGCCAAAATCTCTAATTTAAACTCTGTGTAGGGCGTGGACCAACCCCATTCTGATCACACTGGCTCAAGAACTCCTATGGATTAGGCTACAGTGTGTAGGGCTTGACCTTAGGGTCATTGCATAAGGAGGAAGAGGCAAGGCAGCTAGAAACACAAGCTGGGACAGTAGGCAGAGGTAGAAGCCATGACTCAGTGTTAGGAGGCAGGGCAGTAGAGTAACACCCTCCACCCCAACACGCCCCCCCATCAGCAATAAGGAAGCTCCGCCCATGGCACTCAGGAAGTTCCGCCCAATCAGGGCCCAAGAACAGGCAGATGCACTTGGTGAGTCAGCCTTGGGCCCCACTGCCTCCTACTGACTTACAGCTCACACAGTAGCCCTTTTGTGTCACTCTATTTAGCTGTGGCTTAGGTTCCAGCCAAGGGACTCAGCCAGGGGACTTCTAGGGACAGAGAGAAACAACTATGAGAGCAGCCTTTGTGCAAGTCTGTTCACAGGAAGGAATCCCTAGGGTTGCGGCCAGTGTGCCTGTGGCTGGGGAAGGACAATGCTGAGTAAGGAGAAATGGATCCTGCCCCTCGCCTGGACTGATGTTCAGTGGGTGTTGGAAACTGAAAAGAAAATGTTTCAAATAGGTAGGAAGTTGCTGTAAATTTTCAGTGGGTGTTCAGGAAAAAAAATCCCAGAGCGAGCCTGATAATCTAAGAGAGATTTGAGAGGTCTACTGATGGTGTAATAGTTTAACTCAATGGGGCACTTGCATGCATTTCTGTCTATAGGCACCACATGCAGGGATCTACCCGAGATCGTTTAAAATAAAAACTTAGGAGTGAGTTAGGATAGCTAAGGGACTTCTGGGGCCAACACTCATACTGCCCTGAGGGAATATTTAAATCCATTTTTTCAGGTGTTGACATTTCTGATCAGTTATTGCTTGATGGGGACACTATAGCATGTTTTGACAACCAAGCTTGAGGTGGCAGCAGCTTCTTTCTGAGAAACAATACTTTTCAAATAATACTCAGATAGAGATGGGGGGCTGAGGGGAGCAGAGCCGAGTCTTTTGCCTGAAGTGCTAAAGCAATGTCTCTCTAAGGGTACTGTCTTGCAAGATATGACTTCAAGTCTTCACACACTTGGAGATAGAAAGTGGAAGGCTTTGAGTCCCTGCGGTGTTAAGACACTAGACACACAAGCTCTATAATCCAACCTGAGGGCTCCACATGGGGATGCTAGCAAGGATAACTGATATTTTCAGCTTCACCCCATGGTGGGGATCCAGATCCATTTAGTGGCATCCGGTGATTTCCATTGACACTGGGTCTTGCTACTCTGCAGACTTCTTGCTTAGATCCCAGATGGACTTACTATAATCTCCCATGGAGGACTACCTACTCCATACCCACTACTTTGATCCTGGTACATTTCCTGGGATATTTTCTTCAGTGCGTCTTCCAGTATGCTGGGATGGAAATCCAAGGTGTACAGGGAAGGGGCTCTCAGCAAGATAGGGCATTCTTTCTTTCTTATTTTCTTCCTTCCACCTCTTATTCATGAGGGTCAGGAACTCTCTCACACAAACTCATTTCTAACCATCTCCTGTCATCCATTCGCAGGTAAGTCTGAACTCACATGGAGACTTAAAAGATTTGCCTTCACTGGAATACCCATTTGAGAGCCTATCCTTTTGGTGACTTCTAGGTGTGGCAGGACACACTTCTTGGACTCTTCTGGCTTTTGTTAAAGGCAGGTGTTAACCAAGGGTGAGAATATGGTAAATGTCATATTCTGAGGCAGTACAATGGCTACCATCTCTCAGATCGAAGAGCATAGAGACTATGGAGGAAGGTCTGTCAGCATGACCCATAAGGTCTGGAAGTCAGTTTTGGAGGGAGAGAGGTTCAGGTGAGGAACAATGGGGAAGTGTTCTTGACCTATGACACACCTGGGAGGAGCGCTGTCTCTTGCCTCAAGCAGAGTGATTTGTATTTTAGGAGCATCACATGGTGGTGTAGACATGATGTCTCCTGGAACTTGGGAACAAGAGTGTCTTTTGAGTCCCAACTGATGAGCCTAACGACCAAAGCATCTAGTGGGAGCAGAAAGGAAAGAACAGTGTTGGGAGCAGTCTGCTCCTGTCTGGAGTATCACATAGATGTGATGTATCCCGGAGAACTCTACAGAACAACACCACCCTCGAGTTACCTTAGAAGGGAACTCATGAGTTCTGCCAGGAGCTGAGGAAGCCTCCACCAATAAAGTTCAGAGACTGGGAAGAGCCCAACAGTCAGATGGTGGTCAAACATGACCATATGAGAAAGGTAATGTCAAGTACTGGGAGTCAGAAGAGGAATCCAGAATTGGGTCATGATAACTAACGGTCATGATTCATTTTGTCAGGAGAGAGGCCTCGCCCTATGGGGGTCACTGTACATTACTGTTCACTATTCTGGCCTGGCCACCATATTCTCCTGGGGATGGAGGTCAGGCCTGGGCACTGGGAGGTGTTTACTTGTATAGTTTTTGTCAGTCAAGACTATGGACCTGAGGAAGAACCCTCGTAAGAGCCCAGGTTGACAAAGACACATTCTGCCCATGCCAGCTCCCTCAGATGACTTGTTTCACCCTGAATTGCTGTGCAGTCATTTACTGGAGTCATACTGGCAGAAGGCCCAAGTGTAACACCCAAGGCAACTTCTGCCATTTCCACAGGTGAGAACAGGTGTCTATGGTAATGACCTGTGTCACTCACCTGAATGAAGGCCTGTTCGCTATAACCAGTCATCAGTCACACACCTTCAAGTGACTATAATACACAATAAAAGGGTATTAGGATACAATCCTGTGTCAGTGTTCCTGCTCATTCATGGAGTAGCCATGTGCATTGTGAACAGATTTTAAACCAGTCTTCACCTTTAAAACGGGCGTGTCAGTTGGGTCAACACACAGGGTTGTGACAAGTTAAAAGATGACACCAAGCCAGCATAGAGGTTACACTCCTGCATTTAGCAAAGCATGCAACCGGACAGTAAACACTGATCGAGAGAGAAAGGTTTCCAGAGACAGCCAGAGGACTGTGGCTTTAACAGTTCAGTAAACTTTGTACTGTTAAACCACTAATTTCCAAAGAGCGAACCTCCAGCTTGATGTATTGGGTTCTCCTGAAGTTCTGTCACTAAGACTTGGTATTTCATCACAACGATGGGGATACCAAGGGCTGGTGAGATGGCTCAGTGGATAAATGTGCTCGCAGTGCAAGCCTGATGACCTGAGACTGACCTTTAGATACCATATAAAGGTAGGAGAGAACCAACTCCTCTGACTAACACATGCATATGCCCCAGCCTTGCACAGTCAATGTACTGGGCTCTTCTGAGAGCGCGCTCGTTTGTGTGTGTGTGACACACACATGTGAATATGTGCATATGTCCATGCCATGTGCACCTGGAGGCCAGAGGAGACCGTGGGTTATGCACTATTTTATCGTTTGAGACAGGGTTTCTCACTGAGGCCAGTGCACATGGATGGTTTAGAATGCCTAAACATCGAGCTCTGGGGCTGTCTTTAGTGCTAGGGTTAGACACATGTGACCAACACATGATTTTCTGTGGGTGCTGAGGAGGATGTGAACTCAGGGCCTCATGCCTGGATAGCAAGCACTGTACCCAACAAGCCATCTTGCTCTTGTGACAGGTTTCCCGTGACCCCTGCAGCTGTCTCTCCCCCAGAAGAGAGTCAGGTATTCCAAAACACAAACACATGGCTTTGTCATGATACTTTTTTTTTATTACAATATTCAAAAAACTGGGTATGCAAGTTTAGGGGATCTCAAGACCCCTTCTTCAATCGTAGGAATGTGCCATCTCAAGACTCTATAGTCAAACTATAAAGAAGTTCAAATGTAAAGAATAAAAAGAAAATGCAATTTCTTCATAAACATTCTGTTACTACCAATCACATACTCTTTTGTAAACCCTGAAAAATTTCCCTGTAAAGCAAATAATATATATATAATATACATATATTATATATATATATAATATATATATATATATAGTGTGTATGTATAAAGTATACATTTCCCCCCCCCACCAAAACACAGGTT